AGGATACAGGCACAATTGTGTCAACAGGGCACAGTGAAGACTGCCAGTGATTGAGCACCTGCAGTCTGCAGATATGGTACCCCCTATGAACACAGGGACAGTATCCTTACTGCCTGCAGTGGCTCTGCCCCCTACTACCTGCAGGGGAGGTACCCCTATGACCTGCAGGGGCTGTATCCATATGACTTGCAGGAGATGTAGCCCTATGACTTGCAGACTGTACCCCTATGACCTGTAGGAGTTGTACCCCTACTGCCTTCAGGGCCTGTACCCCCTATGACCTACAAATGCTGAACCCCCTATTGCCTGCAGGGGCGATACCCTCTACAACTTGCAGGGACCCTGTTCCTATGACCTGCAGAGGTTGTACCTTGACTACCTACAAGCGCTGTACCTTCTACAATCTGCAAAGGCTGTGCCCCTATGCACAGGCTGACCCCGTACTGCCTGGAAGCTATGGTTTACCCCTACTGTCTATAGGAGCTGTACCCCTACTGCCTGCAGGGCCTATGCCCTCTACTGCCCACAGAGGCTGTGTCCCCTACCTGCAGGGGCTGTACTCCTCCCACCTGCGGGGACTATACCCCCTAATACTTGCAGGCACTGTCCCCACTATAACCTGCAGGGGCTGTGCCTGATGCTTCACACTTATTTTTAGCCTATCCTGTTCTGGATTCACCTGTAAGGCGGAGCAATGACAAGTTCTGGAACACACTAATTCCCAGGTTGTGTCCAGCCTTTGAACACGACCCAATCCACTTGGGACCCCAGGAGCTGTGTGGTGATGATGGGGAAGCCTTGCTTATCGCTCCCAGGCAACTCTGGTGAATTGCACAGGTAGAGCCCTGACTTGGGGAGGAGAGAGGCCCTTGGGTTGGGGTGTTCCTAATGTCAGAGACTTGAAAGCAAAGGCCAGCTCTCCTGCCACCTTCCCGTGGCGTCCGTGGGTATCAGCCTCGGTCCTCCACATCTCACAATCACCACCTCCCACTGATCCCTCTACCTGAGAACCCCTGGCATCCACCACCTTCCTCATCCCACTGCCCTGCCCAAGCCCCACCCTCATCATGTCATACCTGAAGCTACACTACTAGTTCCCAGCCCTGCTTTTGACCTCAGAATAAGGTTACACTTAGCCACATCTACAGTTCATCTTTCCTTGGGCTCCTCTTTGGCCCCTTCACCTCCCCGCCCATTCCCATTTTACCATCCAATCATAGCTAAACTGCGTATCCCCAGCCTCCTTTCTTCACTGTGTATTCCCCTCTTCACCCACCCTGCCCCATTGGCATGGTTCTCCCCCACGTCGGGAACCTTCCTCCCCAGGGTGGGAGCAAGGCTACCATCTATGAGATTCCACAACAACCTCAGCAAACCCCTTTCGTGGCACTATGAGAATCCTATGAGCATTGCCTCTTCACCCGCCTGCTTCCCCACAAGGTGGGCAGACTAGGGACTGTGCCTAGCACTGTGTGGGTTCTCAAACAAGGTATGCTGAAGAGATGGACAAAGAAGTTCCTTCTGTCACTGCTAGAGCCATGGGAAGGTGGCCCAGGTAGCTCCCGGGTGAGGAGAGAGACTTATGCATCGTATGTATTGGCTTCGAGAGTTCAAACTACAGGTGACAAGATAGTCAAGACAGGCTATGGACTGTAGCTAGGACCTTGACAATGCTACTTCCTGGTCCCTCTAGAGTCCCCAGTTGTTCATGAAAATTTTCCTGCTTCCAAACAAGGAGCCCTAACCCTAATTAACACTCACCCACATGCAGCACTCTTCCCCTGGCCTCAGAGGTGCTCAGAATTCACTAGCTACCATAAAGTTCAGCTGGTTCCCTGGTTCTTACCATAGTCATCCCCTGCAAGTCCAGGGACTGGCTTCTCTGGCATTGTCAGCTGCCGAGGCTCCCACCTGAACCTTTCAGGTTCTGCTCCTGAGCCAAGACTGCTTGACAAGCCCCAATCAGAGGCAGCTACCCCAGTACCAAAAGCAAATAGGAGTCTTCTTTTTAGCAGGCGCCTTGACGCTGTAACCAGAGCTCGTTCACGCATATGATTTATTAACTAATTTAGCATGTAAGAAAAACATCTGCATTTTACTTTTATCATCTTGCCAGCAGACAGGCTGAAGACGAGATGTGTACTGCAGACTTGTTTAATAGGGCCTTAAACATTTCTTCTCACTTGCCCAAGCTTCTATGAGGCTATGGTTTCAGAGGTTGTCTGATTTCACTGACCTAACACAAACAAACCCCAAAGTAAAGCTCTCGTCAACACATAAATACCACAGGGATGGTCAGGGTGGCCATAAAACCCATGTTGGCCAAGTCCCACTTTGAGAGCATGCTGGTTGCCAGGACTGTCTTGGAATTTGGGGAGTAAAAGGTATTCAGTTAGTTAACATTCTGAACTGAGCCTGGTTACTTTTTATTATATACAATTTTAAGATTTTCATTTAAAGGAATGTGAACTTGTAAGGATATTTGTTTTGGGCAAACACCAGTTGGATGATATAATGAGTATAATGGTGTCTCCCCAACAAAAAGATATGTTTAAGTCCTAATCCCCCATAACTCTGAATGTGACTTCTTTAGAAATAGGGTCTTTGCAGAGGTAATCAAGTTAAAATGAGGTCTGACTGGATGAGGGTAGCCCTAATCCAGTGACCATCGTCTTTATGAGGAAAGGAAATTTGAACATAGAGACACAGACGCAGGGAAGACGGCCATGTAGAGACAGAGGCAGAGACCGTAGTGCTGTATCTACAAACCAAGGAACACTGAGGACTGCAGGAAGCCGCCAGGAGCAGAGAGGGAGGCTGGACACAGCATTGCCCACTGCGCCTCTAGAAAGTAACCAACCCTGTGGAAACCTCGATTTTGACTTCTGGCCTCCAGAACTGCAAGAAAATGTTTCTGGGCTTGTTTTTTGTTTGTTTGGTTTTTTTGTATTTTGCTTTTTCTGAGACAGGGTCTTGTGCTCTGTTGCCCAGGCTGGAGTGAAGTGGTACGATCACGGCTCACTGCAGCCGTGACCTAGCCAGGCTCAGGTGATCCTCGCACCTCAGCCTCCCAAGTAGCTGGGACCACAGGCATGCACCTTCATGCCTGGCCAATTTTTGTACGTTTTGTAGAGACAGGGTTTCTGTGTGTTGCCAGGCTGGTCTTGAACTCCTGGGCTCAAGGGATCCACCCACCTCGGCCTCCCAAACTGCTGGGATTACAGGCTTGAGCCACTGGGCCCCGCCAGGTCCTGTTCTTTTAAGCCCTGTGTTTGGTGATTTCTCACAGCAGCCCTAGGAAACCAGTGCAGATGGCCAAGGCCACATTGCCTCTGGCACTTGGGATGGTGGTGTCCCAGACCACTTGTGGCCGGTAGAATGGCACAGCCGGGAGGTGCTGGCCCAGGAGAAGAGAAGCCCAGCACAGCACCACACTAAACAGGTTCCCTAAGGTCTCTGGGTCTCTGTTTCTTCCCACACAAAGTGAAGGGACCTGACTGAAAAGGAAGCCCTCAGCGCCATTCTGTGTGTGTACGTGAGTCTTGAGCTCTAAAGTGGCGTCATTCTATATTTGCTGACCACAAATTTGGTAGCCTAACCATGCTCTCAAGTAGCATCTTCAGAACTATTGAGGCTAAGTGGCCCACACAGCCTGGGCACCAACACCCAACACTGCCCAGGGCCAGTGTAGGCACTGAAGGCCCCAGAGGTCTCCTGGTGCTGGCTTTGGTTCTCACAGCAACTTGAGAAGTCTGTGCCTGAACCCAGTTTTCTCTTTATTGGGCCAGAGACGAAACAGCCTCCTGGAAACTGTATCCCCATTGAACCTATATCTGCCAACGGACTTACAGCACTGGTTAGAGACACGTTTTCCCATGGGGAGCTCTTTGCATACCCCCTTTTGTTAGTATACTAGAAATTGTCATGCGGAGGGAGCAGCAGGTGTCTTGGCAAATATTTAGCCACAGGGAAGGATGCATTCAAATTCATTCCTCCCCGAGGTCTTTAGACAGCTCCACCAGCAGAGTTCTGGTGGAGGGAAGGAGACTTAGTCTGCTCATAGACTGGGGAGGTTCACAGGAATTCTATTACAACACCCTTTTCCTCAGTCCCCCAGGCACCCGGAATGAGATCTTGGTAATGTTTGCTAAGCTGCACTTTATTGAATACAGTTATTTCCCCAAAAGACTTTTATTCTGAGTTATACTCATGATTTCACCTCCTAGGGGCCAAAACATTTTCCTAGGAAGAAAGATCTCATTCCTCTATCCAAAGGAATAAAACTGGGGTTTCTCCAGGCCTCCAGATTTTAAGATTTGGGTTGGCAGTCACTAAGTATGTGCTCTGATGTCCCCCATCCTTACCCTCATTTCTTTTTGTTATTCTTGCTAGTTTAATGGTCTGTTTATAAGCTCCACGAAGTAGGGACTGAGGTCAGTCTTGCTCCCAGCATGGCACCCAGAGAAGGTTCCTGATAACTCCCTCTCCAGTGAGTAAGGAAGTGCCCTCCCTCACAGGGTCAGTGTGACACTGGCCTCACAGTGCTGGGAAGCTGGCCATGCATCCTCTGAGCTCACAGCAGGAAAGGGGTTTCAAGATGACGAATGTTGATGTAGACAAGCTGGAGTCAACCTCTCACCCCGAGATCTGTTTTGCAATCTATAAAGGGCAAAGGGGATCTCTTGCAAATATCTATTAGGAGCCAAGAATTTGAACTTGCTACCCTGGCTGCTATAGTGGTGTGGCTTCTGTCCCAGCTGTAATGGTAAATTGGTGTCCCAAGTTGTTTCTGCTGAGCTCAATGCCCATATGTGATCTCTCAAAATGGGCTGGCTCCAAGAACAGGCTTTCTGATGCTGAGGGTCAGCCACTTGGAGCCATAACAGGTTCTGCATATGTCAGGGGCATCACTTGGAACCATCACTCCTGAGTGAAGCCTCCAGCTCCAGGAAGCCCCCGCCCCGGTCTTTTCCAGTCTCCACAAGCCACGTGCAGCTTACCACTCAGAGGATGGGGAACCGTGAACTGCTTCTTGCTGGTGCGGATGGGAAGGACGCTCTGCTTCTGCCTCAGGTCCTCCTTCCGCTGGGCTTTCCTCTGCTGGACCATGTGTTCGAGCTTTTTCAGCCGTTCTTGTGAGCGAGAAATGAACTGAGGCTTACGAACTTCCAGTGCTTCCTATGCAAAGCAAAGAAAATATGTCATTTTTAAGAGCAGTGACACACAAAGGCAACACATCTGTCTGATGTGGCCAAGAAGCTGATGGCAAGCATGACTTTCCGAGACCAAAAGCCACGGTGCAAAAGTACGTCACAATTTTCTTCTACATCCTTGTGTAAAGAGGGTAACAGGCATGTTGACAACACAGGTCCTGGGGGTCAGGCCTGGCCAGCGCTGAGACCCCTGCTGCAGCAGGATTGACCGGCAACTGGCATCAAAGCCGGGAGTGCAGAGGCAACGTCTGCCCATTCCTCTTTCTACCCTGCTGAGTCATTTGTTCCCAAAAGACAATCCAAGAGCCCTACATTCTGTATTCCAAAGAGACATGGGTGTGGAGGGAACGGAGGTGCTGAGTCACTTGCTTCTGTTGCACTTGGAAGCCCCAAGAAGCACAGACACAGATCATTCACTCAGTGTGAAAAACACGCCCTTTCAGGAGGCACCACAACTGCGGCAAAAGGAAACAGCTCCTCCTCCCGGGTAGAAAGAGTTGGGAGGAAGCCTTTGCCTATGCAGAAGGTTCTGTGAGCTCCACAAACCATGTCAGAGATCCCTGTGTCTCCACTCCCACCTCCATGCACCAAGCCACCCACACAGGTCTCCTGAACAAGACTAACTGCCATTCCGCTGTGTCCCAGACACTGGGCTAGGTGCTCCATGTGTATTCATCACCTCGTGGAGTCCCACAGCTGTTCACGAAGGCAGGCATATTTCTTTCCATTTGACAGGTGCAAAAACTGAGGCTCATGGTAGTTTGGTAGATCACATGGTAACAACCCATCCGTGGGAACCCCATTCTTTTCCTGCACTGCTTTTTATGGTCTTAACTTACTATTCCTGAGTGTCTCTGCTCAAGTTGTCCCCAGCCTGAAGTACCACCCATAGCCATTGGTTCAAGTTCCATCTACCCCAGGAATCCCTGTTGAAATGTCCTGTTGAGTCAGAGCATGGTGCTTCACCGATGGGCCTGAGCAACAGTGAGTCACACATTTACCTCGGTGCTAGGCTGTGAGCTCCAGGAAGTCATGGGCCATGTCTCATTAACAATGCATCACTCACATAGTAGGAGTCCTGCATGTATACGCTCAGCAAAGGCTCGCTGGGCGTGCTGCCATGACCAAAATGTTCCTCTGCCCCCTTGCTCTTCCTCTGGGAGTTCAGCGTGCCCAGGGGGAAGAAGTGTGGGCTCAGTCTGTGTCACATATGTGTCCCTGGCAGCTATGCTAGGGAAGAAGTCTTCTCAGCCAGCTCCCCACATGATGCCAGCCACCAGGAGCAGAGAACCACAAGATATAAGTCACTGGATGTGCTGAAGCTTCAAGAGAGTTCCATGCCTAAAGAGATAACCCTTAGGAACAGACTGGTGGCTTACGTGTAGCTTCTGCCTCGGCTGCCCACCCCATCAAGAATGTCCTTGGAGACTTTGAGGGCAGCATGAATGCCTCACCCAGGTCCCACCAAGGCCCCCTGGGTACAGGAGCCAGCCAGTGGAGCCATCTCCACACCTGCAACTGCAGGGAGGTTTGCAAACTTATTAAGTGCCTTCCAAGAAGGTGTGGCTAGCTGTGCAATACAGTTAGCAGAGACTTTCTCTGAGGTTGTTTGCCCTCCTAATTTTTATTTCTCTGTATTTTTAAACTTTATAAAATGTATGCATACTACATTTTATAAAGCAATTGGGAAAAGATGCCAAACTAAAACTTTCCTATCCTTCCATTCATGACCATGTGACCTTGGGCAACTTTACCTCTCAAAGGCTCAGTGTCATCATCTGAAGACACTGAGATCTGGAGCTCCTACAGGTTCCTACCTCCTGGGAGTCTTGCATGGATTAGAGGCACTGATGCCTAGGAAGTGACCTGTGGAAGGCTGGAGCATCCATCACTGCCGCTGTCACTGTCACTACTGATAGTATTTGATCTTCATTCTAACCTGGAGGAGTCAGTGTCATTGTCTCCATTATTCAAACAGTGACAGAGTAGCCCAGAAAGCTTAGGGGACCTGCCCAGTCACATAGCTGCTATGAAGTGAAATCAGGTTTCCAGCCTCAGAGGTGGAAGTGAGGGAGTGTGTGCTCACGGACTCCGTAGGAAACCTCTCCCTTTGGCACGAATCAAGCCACGACACACAGAAGGCCTTACTTGCAAGGTCAAGGATCTTGTAGGCATTTGCTGAGGCTCAGAACAGTCTTCGGACAGGCCAGGGCTCCCTGCTGTCTCAGGGGGTGCTGGCGAGGGTGCTGCTGTGGCGGGCTCAGGCGTGGTGGGGTCCTCACTCTTCTTACATTCCTTTATTTTTACAACCAAGTCACAGCACGTGTAATCTCCTAGGAGAGAAGATTTAGAATCCCATTTAGAGGGCACCAAGTGATTTTCGCCTGACTCCTCAATACCATTAGACACAGAAGACAATTTTGAAAATAGAAACGCCAGTGGATTATTAATGGGCCTCGTTAAGCTGACAAGATCATGCCTCATCACAGAGCCCCCGGCCGCCCTGGTCACAAGGAAGAGCATTTGCATTCAGCCAGACTTCAGGACCGGCTAATTATGCCAGGGAGGTATTCCCTAGGCTTCTGATGGTTAGGATGGCTTTGCTCAAAATGAAAAGAAACTTTTCTATTCAGTGCTTCATATTAAGTGTGTCCTGTCCAATTATCACAGTTGGGTTGTTTTGGGACAGTGTATTAATCTACCCAGTGCTTGCTACACTGATGATATAAGGACAGAGTGCTGGTATTCAATTAGAGAGCCCTCCGCTGTACTTGCTGGAGACGACCACTGGCTTTGCATAAGCAATTGGGATGACTTCTCGCTCAAGGCTGGTTTTGGGCTCTTCCTGGGGCCATTTTGACTTTCCCTTGTGGAAAAGGTCCGGAAATGAATGGATCCAACAGCATCTCAGGCAGGACCATTTCTGATGGATTGGGGATTAATGAGTATTCACTGGGCACTTACTGGCCTCAGCCTACAACACAACGTCCTTCACTCTGTCCTTAGTCCACCCCTCCCACATGAGCCCCACTGCTTGCCTCACTGCATCTTCCCCTCAACACAGCGCCCTGAAACCACCCCAGTTCTGAAACGCATGGCAGCCTCTCCCTCACTCCTCACCCACATGCTCGCCTATCTTCACAAAGCCCCTTTGATTCCTCTGCACAGTGGACTCCCACCTCCAGGCTGAGTCCAAACCTTCCAAAACCTCCCTCCCCTTCCCAAGGCAGGACCCATCACTGCCTCTGCTACGTCACCCCAGGGAACACACATCGCTCACTCAGCAGCATCTATAACCAGGGGAGGGGTTGGAAGATGATGTTTTCACCCCATCAGCTAGGACTCCCTCGAGGGCTGGACCATATCATATCCACCCTCCTTCTCGCCACAGCACCAGGCTAGGTGCCCAAAAGGAGCTCATTCTGTGGCGGGTGTGGTGGTGGCCTTCTGGAGGCTCACCTGTCCATGGCATGCATCTCCACGATTACAACGACTACAACTCACCATTTATGCCTGGGTCGTCCCTTCCCTGGGTCAGCTGTCCAACCTCTGCTCAAGACCCACCCACAGTTCCTGTTACCTACAAGCCCAAGCCAAGTGGACTTTTCATGGCCGTTCACGGTGGGCATCCCACTAGCAGCGGTCGTTTTGGAGTCTCTAACAACAGCACACCACTTAGGTTTCCAGTCATGCTCTTTCATTTTTCTGAGCATTTGCTCTGGTTCCTTCTGGAAAATTTCCCTGTGACCACTCTGCCCCACCCACCCCCTGTCTCCCGCTGCCCCTTCAGGCCTAACACTAGCCCCAACCCCCTCCTGTGGAGTTAACCTTGCCTTCTGCCACACTGCTTCCATGTCTTCTTGTGAGCACGTTTTCTAGTTCACCCTGTACACAGGGGAGGAAGCCACAATTTCTCCGCCTCCTTCTCCATCATTCTCCCCAGCACCAGAACCAGAAACCCCAGGGCCAACCCTAACATTCCCACCTTTTCACTGCTCAAAGACCTATCCCTGGATCCCGAGCGCCTCTGCAGCCGCGGCCCCTCCTGCACAGTGACTCCACGCTCTTCTCGTTGGCTGGGCCTCAGGCCCCAGCCGCGCTCCTCTCCCATCTGTCCTCCACATTGCACACGAGGCAGTAGTTTCCTCTCGAGCAAATCTAATTATGTCTCTTCCTTTTCAAAGGCTTGGCTCTGCCTTCAATCCAGACTTCCTAAGTGAGTTTAGAAAGGCCTTCCAACCTGATGCACGTGACCCCTGCAGACTCACGCCAGCCACTGCTACCTCCACAACCCTTGGGTCCTGGCCCGACCCTCTGCAGGTCCCCACATCAACCACGTTCTTCCTATCCCAGCTCCTTGTTTCGTGTGTACCTTTCCCTCTGCCCTCAGATCTGATTTGAAAACGTCAAATATACTTTCAAGTTCCTGCTCAAATCACTTCCTTGGCAAAGGTGCCTCTGCACAGATCCTCGCGGAGTGTCAGGGGCTGTCCTCGGCTTCCCCATGGCCCATCACACAGACAGAACTATGCTGCTGTTTCCTGCACCACCTGAGAGCCTAGAGGGCAGGGGATATAAAGCACAGTGTCTGGCATGCAGTAGATGCTTAATAAATGCTTCTCTAAACGATTAATGAATGAGAAGCTAGGGATTAACTTGGGTTCCAAGTGAAATTACTTTTTTCAATTGCCATAACCAATTTAAATTTTACAACCCAAGCTGATGTCTTTCTGTCCTTTTCCATAGTTCTTAGAGAACATCTTTAGAGGGATAGGAAATATAAATTTTCCTGCTGACATAACCAGGTGCCACAGGACGTTTTTCCAATGTGCTCTTATGTCCTTTCTATATCACTGTTGCACCATTCAGTAGTGGTCAGCAACTTGACGCCCAGGGAAATGATGACTGTGTCCTAATTCTTGGTTTCTTCTTCTGTGGGAGGCTGAGTTTGGGACCTACCTTTTGGGCACGTGAGTTCCAGTGTCTCATGCTTGTTAAGTGCTGGGCACCTGTGGGAGCCTCGCGCTTTAGTCATTATCCCTGCTCGTTAGTCACGGGGCACAGTCAACCCAGCGGACCTGCTGCCTTCAGAGCAGCCACACACACCTGCATCTCCAACTTTCCTTAGCTGAGCCTGGGAGTCTGCTGTGCACCTGGGTGTGGTCTTCTCTCAGCCACAGTGGGTAGTGGCCTTGCACACAGTGGGCTTGAAAAATCCCTGACCCACACAGGGCTGCCTCCTGGGTGCTTGGGAGGTTCTTACGTGGCAACAATTTGTCCCCTCTCTGCTCTCCCAGTTGGAGAAGGGGAGGCTTCTTCAGGTGAACAGTGACTGTATGCACAAGGTCCAAGTAGGCAATCAACAACTTTTTATTGACTGTCAAGACAGAATGATGTCACCCACCACCCTCGCTCCTTACCTTTGGGGAACTTGCTTTCTATCTGAACACCATTGTCTTCCTGTGGAGATGCACATACATCTTGTAAGGGGCAAAGAAACCCAGGAAAAAGGATTCTGGGTTTCAGGAAGCTTTGATGTCGTCCCTCTGTGGGTTCAGAAAGGTCTCTAGACAGACAGTCATCGCTTGGAGAGCTATCCCCAATGGGAAGGAAATGTCTAGTGGGCTGCTGTTCCACTGGAGGAGCAGACAGAGTCATGCATACTTCTCCTTGCTGCCTCTTGCTGCTTCCAGAAAATACTTGTGTGTGTACTAAAAATAAAATGAGAATTGTGCTCAAAATCTCTTGTGAATCTAATCTAAAGTACTGACATCTACTGCACATGGTGCTTTTCTCGGGACAAACTTGAGGGGGAGTACAGTACTGCAAGTTCAGTTAGGAGCTCCATCTCTACACAGGGCTGTCCTGGATTGGGCTTGAAAGAGACTGTGCTCGGTGGTGTCCTTAGGAACTCATATTACATTATCTTCAGTGAGCAATAGAGTGAGTTAGCACCTTGATTCTGGGGCCAGAGTATCTGAGTTCAAATCCCACTTCTGCTACATTTAAACTTTCCAGCCTCACCTATAAAATTGAGGTGAGGCAATAATATAATGGACTAATATTAAATTATTTATTATTATATTATTTAGGTTTCTGTAATAAGTATTTCTATAACAAATTATATATTTTATATAATTTATATGATTATATTATATATAACAACATATCTATATTATATAAATCTCAAATATGAAAATTGAGGTAATATTACAATGAAATAGTAATTTATATAGAGTGTTTAGCACAGTACCTGATGCACAATCAGCTTTGAATAAACGTTCGTTATGATTACTATTGCAGAAGCATTGGTGCCGAGTTACGTACTATGGCAAATACAGAGGTAGGAAACAATTTATCGGGTCAATGTGCATAGCTCTAATAAAGCGGTGGGTTTAAAGATGTGTACAACATGTCGCTTGTTTCCACATTGTACTATCAAAAGCCTGGGAACCACCCTATGTCCATTGATAGGGGACTAATTAAATAAATGATGGTACATTCATGCTCTGCAACGGTTAAAAAGAACAAGGCAGATGCTCTTGTGTGGATGTGGGTTAATCTGTAAGATACATTATCTAGTGAACAAAGCAAAATGCAGGACAGTGTGTTTCCCCAGTAAATGCTTTTAGACTCAGATCTCTCTCAAAGGACATAGAACAGGCAGGAGACTGTGTTGTCTCAGGAGAGGGCAATGCAACACTAGGAATTGGGAGTGGAAAACAGACTTTCTTTCCACCACCCATTTTGTACTCTTTGATTTTTTTAAACCTCTTTTATTTTGGAATGCCCTATACATTTTTTAAAGAGTTATTCTTTTTAAATAAGGGAGGGACTGCACTAAGTTGTCAGCCCCCCATGCTGATGCCACCCAAGAGAAATGGCCCCACCATTGCTGCCAGTGGGAATGCGTCCTAGCCTTCCTGTGTGTTGGGACAGAAAAAAACATATTGGGAATCCCTGGAATAATAAAAGTTATAAGAATATTCTTGCTATGTTTTCTCAAATGTCTTATATATAAAAAGGAATTGAGCTCATGACTACCAACCTCTCTCATCAATTTCTCAGAAGTCTGTCATTTGTTCTACCCCCTCTGTCCTGGAGTCCCCACTGCTCCAGCCAGTGGAAGCAGGCTGTGTGGGGCAAGGCCAGGCTGTGTAGTACAGAGGGAAGAGCGAAGACTCTAGGGCTAGAGGGCCCCCAAAGCACCTTGCTGGCCGTGGGATCCAACACAGGTGAGGCCACCTGAGAGCCATCAATTTTCTTATTCACCAAGAGGGGAAACCCAGCTTTCCATGTTCTTACATGCAAATAAACAGAATGTAGGTCAAAAGTGCCTGCAGGCCCCAGTGTTGGATACATAGAAAGTACCAAAAAGAAAGAAATTGTTATCAGCCTTTGTCATTTGGAGATGTTTGTCTACCTATTGTAAAGTTGGCTTTGCCAAACTGTACAGAAAAATGTTTCCAGACTCTTATTTCAAAACATTGGTTCTGTTTAAGTACAAAAGATTGCAGACAGAAAAAGCCCAAAAATAGTCATACACCACCTTCTTTTGTTAGAGCTCTCTGACAGAATCAAAAACCAAATTAGTTATCAGTGATGCAGTCTCAATCTGCCAGGAGATAGGGATCCATCCTGGAGTTAGATTTTTTTAAATTAACTATTTATTTATAGATTTATAAGATCAACCGATCAATATTTTAATCTATCTATCTATCATCTATCTATTCATCTATCTCTGGTTTACTGTAACTTTTTATGTGAATGAGCTTATGTAAGTCAGATATTCAGGCTGTGACTTGAAAGAGTTAAAACAACTCAGAGAAAATAGAAGGCAGTTAGTGCACCGCAGAAAAGAAATGTGCAGCCAAAGAGGACTTTTCTGACAACTGATTGATCAGGTCTCATTTCGTGCATTCTGAAACGTACAATCGTCAGCTGTGCAGTCACCCTCAGGTGGACCCTCGCAGGACAAGGCGGCACGTGTGCTCTTCTCCTCTCATGCACTCCACGTGTGGGTGGGACTGAGAGTTCTCTGTTCATGCCCAACATTCTAAACTGCATCACCCCAGCGAGGACCCACGGCCACCGCAGGCTCTGGCCACCTCAAGAGCAGCCTGCCAACGAAGTCACCCATCCCAGGCATTTCCATCCACTGGACGGGTGTTCAAAGCCCCGCTCCTGAGTCTGCCACATGGAGAGGGCTAGGCCTTCATGACTGTTCTTTAAATAGAAACATTCCCCATATACCCTTTTCTCATGCCACAGCGCAACAATCTCACAAACTTGATTATCCCAGCATTGAGCTATGCAGCAGGAAGTGAACAAAAACCAACCAAAGGATTCTGCCCAACAGTTGTAAATTCCTTCTATTGAACTCATATCCTTGACTCATAGAAGAGCCCCTTGGGTCATGATGCGGTACCTATTTATGCCTTCCTCAAGTTCACTTTTACTGCAAAATACATTATATTTACAATGTAAAGATATTAAACAGAGCACCCACAAAGTTACCTCCTAGATTAAGAAGTGGAATATTTCCGGGGCTTCAGACATCTGAGCTGCTCTTGGATGGCACCCACCCACATTCTACGAGACAGGACCACTCACCTCAACTGTGGGTTACTCCACATTCCTTTTGTCTCTAATTTTCCCACCTATGTAGCTACCCTTAACCAATATGTTTTTATACCAAAATTCTGACTAGCAAGTACAAAGCTAGCTTTTTTTTTTTTTTGAGACAGAGTCTCGTTCTGTCGCCAGCTTGAAGTGGCACAGTCTCGGCTCACTGCAACCTCCGCCTTCTGGGTTCAAGCAATTCTCCTGCCTCAGCCTCCTGAGTAGCTGGGATTATAGGTGCCCACCACCATGCCCAGCTAATTCTTGTATTTTCAGTGGAGACGGGGTTTTAATATGTTGGCCAGGATGGTCTTGATCTCTTGACCTCATGATCTCCCCGCCTCAGCCTCCTAAAGTGCTGGAATTACAGGCATGAGCCACCACGTCCAGCAAAAGCTAGCTGTTTTAAGGTAAGGACATCATTGTATCTGTTAGATAAAAGCTTCCAGAGGAGGCTTCAGCAGGTTGGCTGGGCCATAGCTTTCATGTGAGTTTATAGGATATGATGCTGGGGAAGAAAGTAGCAAGCGATGAATGAGTCCTGGACATCAGGGGATGATCACGGTTGGCATCAGGCAGGGTTGGCATGTGTCTGGGCATGCTGGCAGGCAGGAGTAGCATCAGGGGAGCAGGCTTGTCTGGATTTTCTGTTCCTGACCTCACCATGTTCAACTGTAGGCCTTAGGGATAAGTTCACCTGCAGTGAAATGTGAGCCCTATGGAAACCCATGCAGGGCAGGGACTGGGGGTGGTGGAATTTCAAGGACCTCAATGACACATCATCAAGAACAGCCGAGAAGAGGCATGTATCTGGGCTAGGTGGGGACACTGCCAGCCCATGCAGGTCCTTAGGACAACATGAGAAAAAGGTGGGTCTTTTTCAGGACATTTTACCTCCATTGGCCAGAAAATGCCGCCATTAGCCAATCTGATAGAAAAAGATACTTTATTGTGTCTCTCCAAATATTGTACAAATCTTTGATGTTCTTATATGAGCCCCTGTTGAGCCAGTGGCTCCCCACATGCACACAGTTCTCATAATCATGGCAATTTTGTTCACAGTAGAAAACCAGAAAGCATGAGTGGTTGCTAAGGAGAGAAACCAGTATGACAGCAAGACTGTCAGTCACATCGCAGAGGAAGAGCAAGAAACTATGAAAAGCAGACACGTGAGCCCTGAGGGTACAGCTGCCCCGGGAACTTTAATAGCCGAAGGCAGGTAAATAACATACAGAACTCGCATTAGAATCCTTTATATCCAGATTAGTTTAAATTGTGTTAAAGGTATTCTCGTATTGAAGATGAAACTTAGCTCTTTAGAACATTCATTCATTCAGGAAGAGAAAGATTGTCTCTGAGGTTTTGAGTCAGCTCTGTGCTGCCTCCTGCCCTCTTAAAACAGACTTCAACCAACCACTCAACCAAAAAGACCTTTCTGAACAAAGCAGGCCTCCCTGAGTGTAAACCACACATTTCCCCCATATGCTGATGTTCCGGGCGGTGACGTTTTCTTCCTGCAGAATCTGGGCCATCTTACAACCAACTGTGTCTTAAGAGCTCCAGTAACCCAAGCTTGTGTCATTGTCTCTGGGCCATCAACATAAACATCAATTTCTCAACTCAACTGCAGGGTGGCCCTCAGCATCTCCTAAGAGCCTTAATGCTCTTTGCCGTGAACACAAGCAGCCCCAGACTGCCTTCTGCCCTCAACACCTTTGCAAAGCTCTCAGGTCTGCATTTCATACGTAGCGTCTCACCTCTTCCTCTCACCTGGGTTCTCCTCCAGCCAGCCCCGAAACTACAACATCTAACTGGAAACCAGTTAAGAGAGGTTGGCAGGCTTGGGTGTCTGTTGAACACCCACTCTGCATAGGCACCTGCAGGTGAGTTGAGAACTCTTTTGCTGTGTCCTTTTGGCAAGTGAGAGGCTGCCGCAGAGGGGAAGGAAGGCATTCTGTTGCATGTTGTGTGCTGCCGCGGGGAGGTATTCTTCTGCACGTTGCATGCTGCAGAGGTGGGGAAGGCGTTATTCTCCATGTTGCATACTGCAGGGG